AAACTCATTATTGTTTTAGCAATTACTTATAAAATACTCATTACTTTTTCATAAAAATTTAAAAAAACAACTCATTATTATTATAAGTAATATAGTTAACAATTCTATATTACGTCTGGTTTTTTATTAATTATAGAATTACTGTATGCTATAAGCCAGGCATAAATAACTAAAAAAATTAATACTATTTTTTTAAAACAAAACAAAAGTCTTGACTGTGCGCGATGGCCCAGTGACTGTGCGCGACGGCGCGCCTGGGCCGGCCCATTGAGTGTGCGCGCGGTGCGGGGGCAGGGTCGGCGGGGTGAGGACTAAAGTTTAGTCCCACCTCGCCCGCCGAACCACGCCGCGACGGGCTTATATACCAAGCTCCTACCACCGTTTCGAACTCCTCTGATTCCCGCCCCGCCCCGCCTCTGTCCCGTTGGCCTATGCTGCAGGCCGTAGCTGGGCCGAAAGGCCGGCCCTTTCGCTACCCGGCTTGATCGAGCCGGACCGATTAAGCGCAGTTGCGGCGTGCGAGCACAGGTGGGCTTTTTTTCATCAATATTTTTTTTCCTTCTACGATTCACGGAGCAGGGAGAGGTGGAAGGGGCGCTTTTTTGTCCCACCTCGCACGCCGAGGGACGCCAGGACTGGCTTATATAGCCGCCTTTGAGATATTTATTGAATTAGGTAGTAATAATGTCATGTGACTTTAACTAAAGTCAACTGACATTATTATTATCTTATTTTTTAATATAAGCTTGTCAATTCGCGCAGAAATAACAATAGTAAAATTTTCATATGTATATTTTCAACACGAAATAAATTCCCTATTAACTACTCTTTTTAATATAATTACTTAATAAATTTTGTATTAAGTACTGTTTTTAATTTAACTACTTAAAAAATTCTATGTCAAGTACAGTTTTTTATGAACGGTCGTTTCCAAATTATTAGTTATATCAATAAACTAATTAATAATTTTTAATAAGCTGCAAAATGTTAGGCATTTACACAAAACTCATAAAAAATTAAAAAAATACTGATTATTTTTACCTATAAATTGTAATAAAAAACACATTATTCTTACTTATAAATTAAAAAAAACAACGCATTATTATTATGTAAACACATTTAGCTGTTAATGCAACACATCACAGTACTAAACTTTGCATATATTTTAAATACTATTTAGACATTTATTAACATTACATAAATATTAAAAATGTAATTACTAATTGACAGAAATAACTGATTAAAATATTCATTACAAAAAAACTCATTATGAATTAATTATCAAAAAACTCATTATTGTTTTAGCAATTACTTATAAAAAACTCATTAGTTTTTTGTATAAATTTTAATAAACAACTCATTATTATTATAATAAATATAGTTAACAATTCTATATTACGTATGGAGTTTTATTAATATTATTTTTAAAACAAAAAACAAAAAAGTCTTCGACAGCATGCATCGGCCGGCACAGTGACAATGCGCGACGGCGCGCGTGGGCCGGCCCATTGACTCTGCGCGCGGTGCGGGGGCAGGGTCGGCGGGGGTGAGGACTAAAGTTTAGTCCCACCTCACCCGCCGAACGACGCCGTGACCGCCTTATATACCTGCCTCCCACCTCCCTTTCGAACTCCTCTGATTCCCGCCCCGTCCCGCCACTACCCCGATTGACTGTGCTGCAGGCCGTAGCTGGGCCGAAAGGCCGGCCGTTTCACCGCCCGGCTTGATCGGGCCGGACCGATTAAGCGCAGTTGTGGCCTGCAAGCACAGTAGGCAATTTTTTTACCATTGTCTTTTTTCCTTCTATAAATTTTTCTTATAATTGTTTTTTTCCTTCTATCATTATCAGTAGGATGCATGCCAAATTTTTTGTATTTTTCATCACTTTATGAATGTTCTATAATTTTTCCGAATATGTCGACAAGTTGGCCTCCTTCTCCAGACCCCGTTTGGGCAGGACCGAAGGCCCCGTCTGAAAGGAGTTTTTTCCGATAGCCTTCAAATATACCCACATTTTTTTATACTGTTCCACCATCATCATAAGGATGCATGAAAAGTTTTTTGGCTTTTTTATCGCTTTAAGAATTTTTCAGAGACCGCTCGAGTATGAGTGAAGGCCCCATGCATGCGTAACCGAGCACTGATTTTTCTCGTAACGTTGAAATGCATGTTTCCGTTTATTTTTTGAAGTTGCACGACTAACATCAAATTAAACATACGTTTTTTTTCCAGATAAGCCATTCCAAGTTCATTCATAATTCAAACTACCTTACATAACACTAAACATAACCGAGCACTGCTCTTACATAACTTAGATCGAAATTTAAATAAAAAGGCGCCATACCGCCCGTTTCTCCTTCACCGCCGTCGCCGCCATCATCGCCACCGTCGTCGTCGTCGTCGTCGTCGCTGAAATCCCACCAGTTGTCTTCCCGCGCCTGCTGCTCCTGCACCGCCGCTATGGCCGCCAGCCGCTCTCGTTCCTCACAAGTGGCCGCCGCCGCCGCCTCCTCTGCCGACTGGGCCAGCACCGCAAGTAGCCCTGGCGTGTCGTCAGGGTCTCTCTCTTGCGCGAGGGCGGCCTGCGCCGGCGGGATCTCGACCATCGCCGGGTCAGGGGCTCCTGCTGTGCCGGGGCAGTGGGGGCGGCTGGAGGTGGGCCATGGCGGCGGCGACCATGGGAAGTGCCGGCCTCGCCGGTAATGTCCCCGACGGTGCAGCCGGCCGCCGCATCCCTGAACGCGCCGAGGACGATGTCGAAGTTCTTCCCGCGCCACCACCTGCGCCGGGCCCTCCGGTTGTAGCGGCCGCCAGGGAACGCGTGGAGCTGCTGCCTTGTCGGCGGCGGTCCCATGGTGGGGATGCCGTCCGCCCCGATCCGCCACGGCCGCGGCACTTTGGCTGCCGGCGGCACCATCACGCCGTACCGTGCCAGATCCTCCGTGTCGTCGACGGTGAGGCTCAGCGGCCAAACGCCGGTCGGCCACGCGCCCTCGTCGGAGTCATTGGAAGACATTGCCGGCGAGGAGAGGGAGATGGGCGTGCGAGGAGAGGAAGAGAGATGGGCGGGGCGAGGGAGATGGCATGGCCTGCTCAGGGCTGGCGCGGACTTTTATAGACGGCGGGGGAGGGAGGTGGGCGGGCGAGCCGTCGGTGGCGCGCGCCCCGAGGGAGAGGTGGGCGGCTGGCGGCACGCGCAACAGCCTTGCCGTGTGAAAGCGAGGCAGCGGCGGCGTGTGAAGGCGCGACGCGGCAGGCGAGGCATCGGTGGCGTGGGAAGGTGGCGTGACACGGCAGGCGAGGCATCGGTGGCATGGGAAGGCGGCGCGACGCGGCAGGCGAGGCATCGGTGGCGTGGGAAGGTGCGGGGACGGCACGCGCGACAGCCGAAGCGCTGGTGGCGTCTGAAGGCGGGCGGGCAGTCGCCGCAGCGGCGGCAGCCGACCGGTCGCGTCAGCTGCCGGCCCGAGGCGGAAGGCGCCCGGTCGCCGCACGCGCGGCAATGGAGGGCACGGACTACGACGGCAGAAGGCTGGCGGCAGGAGATCGGCCACGAGCAGTCAGCGCCGCAATTAGTGCACAGTTAACTGCACGACCGCACCACGACCACACGTACGCCCCCACCGACACGCCCTGCATCTGACATTGTGGGCCCATGGATGCTAACGGCTCGGCTCGGCTCGCGTCCTCACAGCTGCCAAGCGGCTCGGCTCGTGCGGCAGCCCCGTATACACAGGCGCGCGGGGGGTATCGGACGCGCGGGGGTATCGGCGTGGACGCGCGGGGGAGGGAATTTTTTTACATAAGACGATCATGCCTCTGACAGCGAAGGGGTATGGGCAGATCTTAGTCCTTGATGTGTTTAAGGAGGGTGTACCGAAGCTGACTGGGAGAGAAAGGGAAATGCCACATGAGCAGCGATTGGACAAAACCGGCTGAGTCAGTAGCGAAACCGTGTCACCTCTCCACCAGGACGAAAATGACTAGTCTGGAGAGTTCGTGGAGCAGTCTGTGGGGTTTGAGAGTCGAGGGACCAAAGTGAAATGGGTTGAGGGAACAAAACTGGGCGTTTCCCACTTTTGGAAGCATCCAAAATCTTTCTCTGATCAAAACGCTGCGTGCATCACTTTTATTATTTCAACAAGGAACATTGACTTGCAATTAGACATGCACCCCATATACACAATTCTGTAGCTTGGTAAGAATTGAACTAAGGAATAACCAAAGAAAAGACGACAATGATGAATGCCAAAAAAAGTGCGCAGTGAAAGAATCGCCAAAATTTACAACATGAACTCACTTGCAGGTTGAAGCAAACAATTGAGATCGAGCCATGCATGCACGTACATGCGCAGCTGCTGTATTGCTCCGCTTAATTATTGAGATATTAGTAGTGGTTGATGGCGCGGCAGTTCTTCCTGATCTGGCCCTGGTAACCGGTCTTGACCTCGATGCCGGCCATCTTCACCATGGCCTTCTCGAACCTGTCCTCCCACCACCCGGGGATTTAGGCGTTCTCCACCACCATTCTCGCCGTCTCCGCCGACGTCATGAGCGCAGCGTCAGAGGTGAAGAGCACCGTGTGCGACAAAACGATCTTGTAGTACTGCCTGCCCAGCTTGTTGGGCGTCACCACGTCCTGCATCACCGTCGGGTCGTTGCCGCCCGGCGTCGCGTCGGCCGGGCACTGTCCCCTCAGGAACGCGGCGAGGCCGCCGTTGATGTCGGAGGGGGTGTTGAGGCGGTCGGAGACGAAGGACGAGCAGTGGAAACGCCCGATGGTGTGCGCGCCAGAGAGGACGACCAGGTCCTCCGTGTTGAGGCCCTTGATGACGAAGCTAGCGACGAGGTCGCTGAGGTTGAACGTCGGCGGCGCCAGGAACTTGAGCGGCTCGGAGGCGTTGGAGAAGGTGCCGTCGCGGCGGCCGGACGGCATCTGGAAGTTTACCTTGCCCCTGCTGAGGATGCAGGATGCGTCACGGGCCGCAAAGGCGACGATGTCAGCACATGAGACGACGCCCGGGCAGGCCGCCTCGAATCAGCTCGAAGCCGCGTAGGGTAGGGTCGTTCGGCGGGCTGAGTTTCTCCGGCGTCGGGCTGAACGGGGTCGGGTCCAGGAGGACGGAAGCATCACAGCCCTAATAATCATCAGCTCAACGAGATTATTCGAGTCTGACTAATCAGCTATGTACGTACAAACGTATATGTTTGCAAATTCGTTAGTACCTCGACGAAACAGTCGTGGAAGAGCATGCGGATCATGGCGGCGCCATTGCCGGGGTTCTGAGAGATGGCCTTCTCCATGACGCCCTTGACGACAGCCTCCGCCTGGGGGCATTTGTCGTGGTAGTAGCCGATCTCCAGTGGCCAGAAAGGGCTGGCCTGGCACCCCACAGCGAGGAGCAGCAAGGCACAGGCCACCAAAACGTGTGGCTTTGCAGCAACAGCCGCCATTTCTATTTCTTCGAAGCTAGCAGCTTGCGTGCTTGCTTGCTTGACTAAGATGAAGTTATCTACCTCGATCGGTGGATATAGGAAGAGAGAAGTGTGAGAAGTTGTCGATCGGTGGAGAATGCCTTATGTTGATATACCTCGAGCAGGAAGCTATCTACTTATATAGGTGGACACTCGAGGACCTAGCTTGTCCGAGAATATATGCACATATATGTTGGCATGTGCTTAAAATTAACAATGATTATCTTGGCTTCTTTGGAACGTTACTACACCGGGTTGTTGCCACCGATCGTCATTGAATTCGCTGCTCCCACCGAAAACTAATCAAAGGGCGTCTTGGGCCCGTAATGATATCATACACAAATAGTAAACAAACAGCTAGCTGTTTACTATATGAAGCGGCCATATGCATAAGCTGGAGCTAGCTATTTCGAAATAGCTGGATCGAGCAGCTGATTGATGCAGCCGGCTCCGTGTTTCTTTCTTTCCTGTTTTGTGTATACGATACAATACGATCCACCGTACCAGTGGCAGATGGGGATGCCTGTTTTCCCGGTCGTTGAGACGTCACATACGTTAATGAAAGAACGTTTCATGTGTGCTTCGTCTTCTTCTTCTTTTTTTGGCGAGGATAAAGGGAGCTTTATTGCAAATTCATAGAGTTATAGTTGAGAGGCTACAAGACCTCAATACAAGGTGGAATTGCACGAAGCCAAACAGCGGTGGCACGCTCCATTCGGCTATACTTCACCAAACAATCGGCAACTCTATTTTGTGAACGACTAAGTTTCTGAGGTAAAAACTCCCTACTACCAGCTAAGTGTAAAATCTCCAAGACTAACTGGCCATAAGCTGACCGCCGCAAGGCACCCGAGGACAAGCACGACAACGCTTCAGAGGAATCTGACCGTAACACCACCAGACAGTTTGAATGTTGGATGGCAAGGGCCATACCTTGCATCATCGCATGAAGTTCGGCCTCCAATGGATATAGCGGTAAGCCGCAAATAAGATCACCCCCTCGCTGTTCCTTAAGACCATCCCAGCCGCCACGGCTCCATCCTCCCGGTTGCTACGAGCCGTCAACAGACAAGGCCACCGTACCCTGCACCGGAGCCGGCCAAGGCAGCACAGGAGCAGGACCCTTTAGACACGGCATCTCAAGGGAGACCGTTGGCATTTTCCCTTTGATAATATCATCAGTTGAATACTTGCCGACGAGGTTGATGGATTTGTAATAACAGATTTGCTATTTCACATCTAGATGTGAAATAATTATCTCACATCTAAGTCCACAACCACAGGATCAAACTGCTATAAGATTTGTGCAATTGACAAATAACCTGGTAGACTGTCTCCCGTGTGTGAGTCTGGGCCATTTTTGTCCGCTTAGTCCGTTTGTAGATGTGCCCCCGTGCCTGGGCCTCAGGCCTTTTTATTTTATTGTAGTCATTTGTTTTTTCAGCAGTTGGCTGCGTTTTCCTTTGCAAGGCTGTGCTATGACTAGGACGTTTTTCTTTCGTCTGTGTCAACTTCCATTCCACACTCTGTCATTGTCTTTTTGTTTGTTTTCGTTTTTATTTACTTTTTATTTTTTATTTCATTTTAGTTTTAAATTATGAACTATATTAAATTTATGATATTTTGTTTTTGTTACATTTTGTATTTTAAGATTTCCGTTCCTTTTTTATTTTCCCTTTATTTCTTCTTTATTTATTTGTTTTAAATTCATCAACCTTTTTCACTCTATCATCCTTTAACTTTAATTATTGTGCAAATATTTATTGCGGGCCCTTTTTGTCTTGCGGGGCCCGTATCATGCAGTCTGTCCGGTGTCTACTTGTCGACATGTTCGCACGTGCGTCTTTTGTTGGATCGTTTTCACGGCGCGATCGGGGCCCCCCATTTTCGGATTGGTTTTGCTAGTTTCATCTAGATGAGAGTTGACAATGTCTAATCTGACTTGTATATGGTCGGATACACATGTTTCTGAATCGTGCTCGTTATTTGCAAAAAAAAAGTCATGCTCGTTGTCGTTGTGTCATGTTTTCTGTTTCCCTTGTGAAGCAGTGAGGCCCGACATGACTTTTTTTAGTGGGTCATTTTTATGCTTGTGTATCGGGTTTATTTTGTGGGCTATAGATTTCTTGTGAAGGGTGTATGTCCTTTCATTCCATGTTTTTTTTATTTTTGGTTCGACTGTGTCGCTAGAGGACTGTGTCACTAGATTTTTTTTTCTTTTTGGATTTGCTAAATCTTAGTGATGACTTGTCTAAGTTTATAACCATCAAACTTGTTTTCTTTAATGTTCGCACAAACTCAACTAGTTGTACCAGCTGCAAGTCCACCTTTGACTCGTAAATGGGCTCGTAGTTTGTCCCAGTTGCAAGTTCACCGCTGATTTGCAATTATGCATTTATTTTTTTACCCCAGTTGCAAGTGCACGTTCGACTCGCAACTGGGCTTATAGTTTGTTGTTTTAGTCCCAATTGCATGTCCACCCATGAATCGCAAATGGTATTATAGTTATGTAGTTGTCCCAGTTGCAAGTCTGCCCTTGACACGCAACTAGGCCTAGTTTGTTTTATCCCAGTTGCAAGTCCATCCTTGACTCACAACTGAGCCCATAATTTTGTTTCTTTCCAGTTGCAAGTCGACCCTTGACTCGAAACTTGGCTCATAGTTTCTTAATTATCCTAGTTGCAAGTCCGCCCTCGACTCGCAAATGAGATTGTAGTTGTCCGAGCTGCAAGCCCCACCCCCCACTTGCAACTGGAGACCGTGTTTTATTTTCATCCCAGTTGCAAGTCCATCCTTGACTCGCAACTGGCACATAGTTTGTTTCATCCCAATTGCAAGTCAACCCTTGACTCACAACTGAGCTCACAGTTCCTTAGTTGTCCTAATTGCAAGTCCATCCTTGACTCGCAAATGAGCTCGTACCTTGTCCCAGTTGCAAGTCCACCATCGACTCGCAACTGGGCAGCTGTTTTTTATCCCAGTTGCAAGTGCATGCTCGACCCGCAATTGGGCTCTTAGTTTGTTGTTGTCCTAGTTGCAAGTCCGCCCACGAATCGCAAATAGTATTGTAGTTTTGTGTAGTTGTCCCAGTTGTAAGTCCACACACGGCTCGCAACTGGTATCGTAGTTTGTGAAGTTGTCCCAGTTGCAAGTCTATTCTTGATTCGCAACTGAGCCCATAGTTTTTTAAACCCAGTTGCAAGTCCACCATCAACTCACAACTGAAATGTAGTTTGTTTTGCATCCCAGTTGCACGTCCATCCTGGACTCCCAACTAAGCTCGCAGTTGTCCCTATTGCCAGTCCACCTTTGACTCACAACTGGTCACATAGTTTTGTGCAGTTGTCTCAGTTGCAAGTCCACCCTCGACTCGCAACTTGGCTCATAGTTTGTTGTTTCCCTAGCTGTAAATCCACCCCCGACTCGCAACTTGGCTCATAGTTTCTTGATGTTCCAGTTACAAGTCCACCCTCCGATTTGCAGCTAGGCCCGTAGTTTTGTTTATCGCCTTTGTTTGCAAGTCCACGCTCGATTCACAACTAAGCCCATAGTTTCTTATGCCAGTTGCAAGTCTACCCTCGACTCGCAACTGAGACTGTAGTTTGTTTTTCATCCCAGTTGCAGGTCCATCCTCGACTCGCAACTAAGCTCACATGTCTCCCTGTTGCAAGTCCATCTTTGACTCGTAACTGGTCTTGTAGTTTTGTGCAATTATCCCAGTTGCAATTCTACCCTCGACTTGCAACTTGGCCCGTAGTTCATTTTTTATCTATTTGCCCTATTTAGCTGCTCAACATTATTTTTTCCGCCCCAATCCATTTTTTCAAATGTCCCAAGTGCAAGCCCATCTTTGAACCATTTTTAAAAAAAAAAGATATGCAACCAAGTCGGAGGGACCCAAGTTTTCATGTGTGATTTTTTAAAAGCCAATTTTTGTATGATATTTTAGTTCCAACCCATTGAGTTAGTTCCTGATCTTTTTCTAAATCTCAAAGTTTTATACAAATGAGGCACACCCTTTTTGAAGCATATCTTTTTGTATATATGACTAGTTTATTCATCAATTCACAAAATGTTAACGTTTTTCAGAAATTGCATTCAGAATCCAAAATATGCTCTAGTATTTTAGAAAATATCCAGGTTTAAAAAAACAAAATTTCAACAAATGTTCTCATTTCCTGGTTTGGTAAATTTACAAGTTGTTTTAGTTCTATGGGACATTTTTAAGTTTCATGGATATTATTAAAAGTTTCAACTCAAATGATGCTCGCACGCCAGCCCGGGAGAGACATCAGACATGCATTGCCGCATGTGCGTGTACATACATACACTGATACACACATACATGACTCATCAAGGTATACATGACAAGGAACGGCAGCACAATGCGTACCATGCAAAAAGAAAAAACGGCAGCACAATTCGTGCCTGAAGTGAAGGAGCGGCAGTACAATGCGTATACTATGCCAAAAAAAGGTAGCAGCACAATACGTTTTTTTTTTGAGGCAATAGCAGCACAATACGTGATGTTTACTGGGAGGAGCAGGGCGCCAGTGAGGCGCCAATACAAACGTGCTACTCGATCGCATCACGTACATGTGCTACGTGAAAACATAATTTTTTTCATCAAACAAAAAACAAACAAACAAAAAACAAGAGAGGGTGGGCATGTGCTAGGATGAGGTGGCACTGATGTCCTGCTTAGATGTGATATAATATATCACATCTAGATGAGACATAGACACATCCTTGTAATAACTGTCCAGGAACTCCACCGAGGAAAGCACGGGAGGTGCCTCCTTGCCATGGTAGATGTCATTACGTATGTGCCAGATGCGTCAAATCAGCATGATGACCATATTTCCGACAGTTTCCGAGCATGTACTTAGCAGGAGCATCAGCCACTCCTTGCCATTATCGATGAGAAGATCATCGCTGGGAAGCGGCCAGCGTCTGCGCATATTAAACCACAGGGTTCT